ACCATACCTGTTAGCTCTCACAAGCATTGTTGGTGAAGCTAGACTTGTTGGTAAATATTAGTCTCTAGAAGGGACAGGAGTGGTTATGAACAAAGCAGTTTTCTTTGATTGTCATACAGTGGTCAGTGGTTCTTTTCTGGGACCAGAAAAGCTTACTCACATGTAGTTAATGTGAAGAAAAATAAACCAACCTGGTTTTCATAGCACTGAGCATAGACTTTGTTTGCTAGTTTATGTTCCTAAACATGGTGTTTTACATTCAATTTAACAGTAATGATTTAAGTTTTTGCTCTGGATTAGGTCTAAGGAATATCAAGATGATTAGAAAGTCCCTGCCATCAAGGAATTTGTAAGAAAGGAAAATGTGCCTTTGCCTTCAAATGTACACAGGCTCTTTTTCGTATGCCTTCTGCTCTCAATTATGTCAAGTCAATCTTACATCCAAAATATTTTAACATCTTAATGTCTTATTTTAGCAAAACGTGCAGTCTTTCCCTGCCCACTGCTCCTATCATTTTTCTTTTAGATTTGACGAGGTGCTTTATAGATCATCTCTGGATCTTCAACCCAGACACATAGTCAGTTACCTTCTAACTCTAAGGTACTTTATAATCTTCCTATTTTCAAGTGTTAATGACATTTGAGACCTTCTGATCTGACAAAGAACCTTTCTTAAAGTTTTCCTATAAACAAATCACTTGGCCTAAAAATCGATATTCCTTAAGTTACAGGAATTCTTGCTCTATCTTAGCAAATTAGCAATTAATGTTCATTCATTCAGTGATATAAGGCATGGTCACTATAGTCTGGTAAACAGGAACTGACAACTACATAGATAGCTACAGCCCAGTGCATATGTGTAATGATAGAGTAAACATAAGAGGCAGTGTTAGGTCACCCAGTCTAGCCTTGAGGGATCAGAGAAGGCTTCTAAGTAGATATTAATCAGGAGAAGTAATGTGGCTGGGAAGGAGGGAAAAGCCCAGAGTTCGAGTAAGAACATAATATGTTAAAGGAACTGTAAGCATTGTCCTTGGAGGGATAGGAAATGAAGCGTGTACAAGCCCTTTGCCATGTATGGAGGCATTTAGACTTACTTTCAGGGCAGTGGGGTTCATAAAAGGGTTTTAAGCAGAGGCACAGAAAAATTAGCTAGAGGGTAGAGAATGAATTGGGAGGCAAATCAGTGACATTTTGATGGACATTTCATGGTGGCTATTTTAAAAACTCTGAATAGAAATTGGGTCTACTCTTGTATAGCAACAGCTGTATCTTCCCATAAAGTTATTTAAGAAAGGAAATTTTGCTTTTACTCAAGATTTACTGAAATGAGAGACTTATCGGGACTGTTTTCTTGGTTATACTTTTTACCTTGTCTTCCCCAGATTTAAATAAGATTTTTTCTTCCTTCAAGTGCCACTTAGACATACAGAGATGAAGAAGCCAGGAAGTTTTATGAAATGTCATTTAATAATTAAAATAAATGTCTTGGCCTGGCATGGTGGCTCATACCTGTAATCCTAGAACTCTGGGAGGCCAAGGCAGGAGGATTGCTTGAGGTCAGGAGTTCGAGACCAGCCTGAATAAGAGCGAGACCCCGTCTCTACTAAAAATAGAAAAAAATTAGCCATGTATGGTAGCATGAGCCTATAGTCCTAGCTACTTGGAGGCTGAGGCAGGAGGATCACATGAGCCCAGAAGTTTGAGATTATAGTGAGCTATGATGATGCCACTGCACTCTAGCTGGGGTGACAAAGCAAGACTCTGTGAAAAACAACAAAAATCCTAAAACAAATGTCATCATTTTTCTGGCACATTGTTCTATGCTGCCATACCTAAACAGAAAAGATACTTTAAAGAAGGTGGCCAGTGTGTGCAGAGTGGATCGATAAGGAGTCTCTACCCCACCTTCTAACTGTGCAGAGGGGAAAAGGCTATGCTGTGTTATGCTTTTAATTATAGGCTGCCTAAATGAGGAAAGGAAATACCCCATGTTTGTAAAAATTAACAATGAAATTGTAATCTCAAAAATTGCCACCTGTTAATAGTAGAACCAGAACCAAGATCTAAAGCTTGAGTTTAGTGTGTTTTACTTTGTTATAAAAAAGCAGTGAATTCCAGTCTCAACTTTACAACTTTGGATACATTCTTTAATGGTTCTAAGTTTTGATTTATTTATTTTAAGTTGAGGGAATAAGATTTGATATCAAGCTCATATGTTACAACAAGAAATTGCTACTCATCATGATTTCTCTCTTCCTGTTTCAGTCATCTTGCAGCTGTGGCACACAAAACACTGCAAATAAAAGGTAGTCCTCCTGAAGTGGCAGGGGTACGTTATGTTAAGTGTTCTCTCTGTGTAATCCCTAGCAACTCTAGCACTAATATTACTGTCTTTCTCAAAATTTTTCTAAAATATTATTATATTGTTCATCTATAGCATTGTACTTACTGACTCAGGTAATAATTAGGCTGTAATAATCAATGTTGGTTGGGCTGTAACAATCAATGTTTATATATTTCCCAACACGCTAGAGTATGAAACATATTTTTCTACATCAAGTGTTATAATCATAAGTTTGCCTTATCTGAAGCCATACCGTATGATGGGACTGTCATTCCCATTCCATGACCCCTTGTATACCAGTCTCACTGTAAGGGATGCTAGGAATTTATCTTCTCTTGCCTACAGTAAACTCTAGAGCACCTTGACATTTTGTTCCTACCTTAAATTAGAAGAAAAAATTACTTTTAAAACCATTCTCATTTATTTACTTATACCTAGGCTGTTACTGAATTGAACACTTAATCATTCTTTATTTTGTAGGCCAGACTTCATCTTTTCAAAGCTGTCCGTTCTGTCCTAGCCAATGGAATGAAACTTCTTGGAATAACACCTGTATGTAAGATGTAATTTCTAATTAAAATGGCTTTTAAAATACCAAATGAATTGTAGTTATCCTTAATTGCCTTGCTGTTCAGAATAGAATTTAATTTATTATTCTGTGTCAGAATCTATATTTAAGTGTGACTTACCACGGTATTCAATCTTTACCCTTAAAATAAATAAACAAATCATCTGAGTTCCCTCACAGTCAGTAGGTACTTAAGCAGACATTTGTAAAACTAGGTTGAGTCTTTTTAAACTCAAAGCATTGTGGTCTAATGGGGCTAAAGGATCAGAGTTTAAACTCTGGTTTGAAGTTTATTACAATGTCATTCTTTTAGAAACTCTTCTTGTAACTGAGATGATCTGTTTTCATCACATAATTGGTGAGGGGGAAAAAAATCTCAATTTTCCTCTAATTGTGATTAGTTCTTAATAAAATACAGGGAGATCAGAAATAAGCATCTTTTTGCCAATATAGCTGACAGCTACTCCCAGAGAGAGCAGTTGTCAGATCTCATGCTTACCTTTTAGTTGATATATACAGGTAACTCTTACTGTGTGAACTCAGGAACTGAATACATTTGAATAGCAAGGAATTACTTGTACATTGTATTAGCATCTTTTTGTAAAATGTAGTCCATTATTGAACCATAATTTAAAATGGAGTTTCTTAGTTTCCTTCATGTATCTTCATATTGGTAACGTATATTTTGTGTGATTTGATTAGGGGTAACATGAGCATGGGTTAGGTAACATGAGTAGGATGTGGTATGTTTATCAGGATGACCTTCATCCTCATCTGCCAGCATTTCCATTCAGGTTGGCTATAATTTATTCTAAATGTTGCTAATAGAAGTCTTCTGAATACTGATGACAATCTACTTTTACAAATAGGCAAATTAGCATGAACCAAAGCTTCTCTAGTTAGAATGAAAATTGTTTTATATATGCAAGTATGGTTTACCTTCTTAGTCTTAGCGAGGACTTATCCATGTAGTCTCAATTTTAAGCAAACTAGCTTCCAGATTGCTAATTTTCCACTTAAAGTAGCATTAAAATTCCCTTAGCAGAAACCAGCCATAGAATAAAAATGTACAGTAGGGACATGTTTTACATGTCCAATATCCGTTTCCACTTCTTTGGAGAAAATTTCCCCTTCCAAAGTCAGTGGTAGCCTTTTGAGTATTTGAATCTTGAGTGAAACAATACAGGGACAGTAATGAGTAGAGCCAAATCTTTACAGAAGCAGCTCACTGAAAAGACTGTTCATTAATTCCTACAACCTAGGGTCTCATTCTGTCACCCAGGCTGGAGTGCAGTGGCATGATCATGGCTCACTGCAACTTTGAACTCCTGGACTCAAGCCATCCTCCCCTGTAGCTGGGACTACAGGTGTGTACCACCATGCCTGGCTAAAATTCCTTTTTTTGCTTAAGGCTTGCCAGAGTCAGTTTATAAGTATTATTTGCAAACAAAGAACCTTAACTGATACTATTCCACATACAGAAAATAAAATTATTTTTAATGTTTTACATTATCTTAATGGTCATATTTATAATACAAAAAAGTGATTAAACAATTCATATAAATAAATTTATTGCTGAATTTCTCCATTAACATTATAGAAATTTTTTTAAAAACACTGAAATTTCACAATTATTGAGAGCCCAAAAGTTAAACATACTTTATTAAAAAAATACAAAAGTGACATTAGAAATTTTTTTGAAGAAAAGTGTATCTAACAGCAAAGAAATATGAACCAGACAATGAATGGCACAAATACAGCATTAAAGGAGTACTCAGTCACCACCCAGAAATCATTGTCTGAGTAATGAAATCGATTCAGTTTGAAAAGTTACACATTCAGTTTGTTTCTGAACTAGCCTGTCTTGTTTCTGCCCCTCTTTTGTAAGAAAAGAACCTAGATCTTTACTGCTGCTGGGACAAAATACTGTACATAAATTGGAGAACAAGGAGGGGTTGTCCTTCTCTCCTGGTACCTGAACAAGAGAACAGTTAGGACAGAAATGGCTTTGGCACTTTAACCCTTAAACATTGTCCCAAACCTTGAATATTGTAGCCTCACATTATTTTTTTTAATACCGTATCACTCCATACTTTTTATGTACATTATATATATATATACAATAATAAAATTCATTCTGAAACAACAGCTTGACCCAAACAGTTCCATATTAAATCTCTGTATTAGCAATTCACTCAGATAGCTTTCTTATGCCATCAGTTAATTTGTTGTTTTTGTTTAAGCTACCTTCTGGGATTGACTTAAGGCTCTAGTTTAATGCAAATGGTTTAGTCTTAGTAGAAATCTCACTGGAAGCTGAAATCACACACCAATGACTCTCTCTTTTGAAGCTGTTTCTCCTTGTTGGATGGATGTAGTATCTTGTCTGGGTAATCCATAGAGATATATGGAAACACATACAAGAAGGGTACCCAAAGCGAAGGTGAGTGCTGAAAAACAAAAAACAAACCTTTATCTGTATTTGTTATATTTGTGTCTTTTAAACTCCATTAACAATGATCAGTATAAGATTTTGAAAAAACTTTTAAAATTGTGTGTTTACACTGTCAGATCACATGGGAAATGAAGCTAAATGTTCTGTTTTTATGATCATAAGGTTTAGAAAGGTCATCCATTCTAGCCAAAAAAATAAGTGGTAAAATCAAGGGAGTGTTGATCATAGACTACATGCTTTCAGAACAGGAGTATGCCTATCTTAGACCACTCTGACACATACTAACTTCCCTATTAAATATGTAAATTTTTAAGATACATATAAGTATAAAATAAAAAATATAAATACGAAAGAAAATGCAGTGGAATGTGACTTTTCCATGATATCAGAGAAACCTGTGAAGGTTTAGGGTAAAAGATAGTTGAGCGAAATTCAGAGTTAGGTGACCGATTACTCAAACCATTGAAGATTTGTGAATAGGAGATAAGGTAGTAATTTATTGAATAAAATTAAATTATTTCCTTCTAGTCTTAACCTTTTTTCCATCTTCAGGATACCAAGAAACTGAATTGTAACTTGTCCCAACTTGCCAGGTAAGCATTATGTAAATAAATGCTTATGTCACAACTGTATATTCTTTCAAAACTGAACCATATTCTATATGGAGTACAATGGCACAGTCTTAATAGCTTTAAAAAAATGGCATGAAGAGAAATGATATCAAGCTATGATTTTAGTTCACCCCTAACTAGAAAAGACTAGCTTTGAAAAAGGGAAGGTGGAATAAAAACTTAGATCTAAATAGTTAACTGACAGATTGCTAAGGTATTCTAACTGACCATCAGTAATACAGGACATTAACCAACAGCATTTTATATGCTTCCTAAATATGCCTTAGGAGCAAAGGCATAGGATTTCGTTGAACATAAGGATGGATCAGAACTACAATTAAAAGTTCACCCAAATCAGATAAGAAAAATATCTAAGGGAGGGCCTATAAATACCTAATACTGAAATGGTAAGTGGTTAGTCATATGCAGATTACTTACTATGTACCAGGTACTATTTTATGCACATCACCTGAAAACAACCCTAGGAGCTAGGTGACACACGGGTTATATAACTTCCCCTAAGGTTGTACAACCAATAAATGGTACAGGTTAAGATTTGAGCCATACTATAAAATGGTTTTCCAGGATTTCTGCAACATTAGGATTCCTCTATTTCCATTTATAACAGGAGTCAATTTAAAAATGAAATGTGGGCCAGGCACACTGGCTCATGCCTATATTCCTAGCACTTCAGGAGGCCCAGCAGGAGTTTGAGACCAGCCTGGGCAATAGCAAGACCCCATCTCTACAAAAAAAAAAAAAAAATTAGCCAGACGTGGTGGTGCACACCTGTAGTCCCAGCTACTCAGGAGGCTGAGGATCTCCAACCCAGGAGTTTGAAGTTGCAGTGAGCTATAGTGATACCACTGCACTCTAAACCAGGTAATAGAGCAAGACCTTGTCTTAAAAAATAAAAATGAAATGTAATATAGGCCAGGTCTATTTCTGTTATTTAATGTAGATATTCTTCATATATTAGTTTATGGTATAATTGATCAGTAAAGAAAATAATTATACCAGAAAAACACACTAAAATGCTAAGTCAGTATCATTGCCTAAATAAACCAGATGCCAACTTAATGCTGGATCTGAGTTTGGAAAATTATATTATTAATAGAAGGACTAGCATAGCACTGGTGCCAGAATGCCAGCTACAGTAATGAGTTTTGTATTAATTACATATTAAATGAGACAAAGGCATCTTTATAAAAGACAAAATCTACATTTGGATTGTATTTTCAAAACCAACTCACACCCAAATTCAAAACAGGAAGGTACAAGCTAAGGGGAATAAAATATGTTTTCTGTTTTCTTCTAAATAATAAGCCTAGATAGTTTAATTCAATTGCTGAAAGTAATCATTTCCTAAAGTCCTTAACATTTATTTCCTTGAGTACCTCATCGTACTATATTCACCCAGAATCACTCAAGTTGTCCTGTATCTAATACCTACAAAAAATCTTTTTAGGGTAGCTTCCTCACTTTCACATAGAATCAGCATTCCTCAGCTTAAGTGCTAGGACCATGTAATCAACCTAAATACTGCTTAGCCACACTACACACAACTATGAACTGCACTTATGGAATAAACTGTAACAAAACTAGGAATTTCTACAAACACTATGGCCAACTGCCATTTTTAATAAGAGACGAAATGAATCATGGAAGTGTGAAGCTCTTCCATGTTAACAACTTGATACAAACTGAAACATACTTATCTGTAATCCAAACAGCATCACTGAAGAAATGGTAGAAAGGACAATGGCTGCTGCTGCAGAAAAGCCTTTCATGATGTTGTCTGTGTACTTAACCACAACAGAAGTGTAGAGGCCTCCAACACTTGCAAGAACTTGTATACAGAAAGAAATAAAATCTTAACACTCAAATAAATGAAACATTCCATAACGGTGAGGCAATTTTCATCCCCAGAGATGCCATACTAATTTACCTAGGAAAAGGAAAATACTATTTTCCTTAGAGCAGTCATCTGAGAGAGTTTATACTAAAATTGAGTAGTAGTTCCTATATAACATTGTTTTTCCAAAACAATGCCCAAAGGGCTATGTGGTCTACTACTAAATTGTACACATTTATTGCTAACACATTAGATACTTTTGTGGCATAGCTATCCCAAAGCAATTTTGCCTTCACAATCAAAAGTAAGTCAATAAAACCAAAATTACATTTTCAAACTGATATTCATAGTATCAAAGGAATAATTTCGACAATGCTATAACGGCTTAAAATGGGCATCTAACTTAAGAAAAACAGATCTAACTCAGAACCTTTAATTCCTGGATACTTACAGATGACAAACCAGACATAATATGTGTAACCATAGAAAAATCCTTTTTCTTGAATTTCAGCTCCATCTGACAAGTAGACGACAGTTAATGTCACAATAATCCCTGATAGATACATTTGAATGTTTCTCACCCAAAGAGAAGTGTCTGAACTCTTTAATACTTTTTCAAAATATACTCCTGAAAGAAAATTAGAAATGCAAATATTAAGATTATTATAAATTAATTTAAAATGGCTTTCATTTAGAACAATGCCCTAAAGTATATGATTTGGGGAACAAACATACTTTACATTAGTTAAATGTGTATTTATTACGTAGGTTGTAACATATGGCACACTGAACATTTCTAGTTTGCATTTTTACGAAGTGTATAGATTAATAACCAAGTGGGAACTTTATAAGCTACATTTAACAGGAGATTGTTAAATTATTAAGAACAGATTCTATCTTTATTATAGCAATAAGATCACAAAAGCTCTCTGGTACTTAATACCAATAAATGACTTCTGTGGTCAGCTGGAAAGCTTACACTATTAGAGTGAATTATTTTAGTTACATCTCTGTAATATCTGCCTAGTAATGAATACTCCTAACTTTGCAAAATAACCTATATAATAACCACTTGGAATTTTTTCAGAGTAATGCAACCAAAAGAAAATGTAAATAGAACTCACTGAGTTTCCTTTAAAGCAATGTTCCACAAGCCAAGTTCACACACAATGTCAGAAGGACCATGAACTCCCCAACTAGATAGTAAACTGTGTGTGTATGTGCATTTTTCTAGGATTGAGGGTCTTTAGATTTTTTTTTTAAGATACTCCAAAGTAGTACATGACACCCCCCCGCAAAAGTCAGATACCACTGCTACAAGTTTTATACTTAAAATGAATGCATGTTTAACATGGACATTAAAGATTTTAATTATAAATACCATGTTAGTTAAAGACTTAGGAATTGCCGCTACAGTACTTACCAACTAAAAAGTCTAATGAAAAGCAAGACTGTTTTTGATTAACCTCTGTTAGACTCAAAGAATGCAGACAAACATAAAATAGCTATTCTTATCTCCACCTTTGATTTTACCATCTGGGAAAACCATTTAACTATTCAGTGCTGAATTACTCTAACCACCCTCAATTTCCTCAGTTGTGTACTGAAAGGCTGAACTAAATACAATGTTGGACAAAAGCATGTAACTGTTCAAAAATATTTTTAAAAATCAAATAGTATATTATTTTGGGGGTAACTCAATTTTTGTTCCTAATTTTTTGGTTTAGGTACCAAGGTTAGCATGATGCTATCATTACTAAGTATATTTCTAAATTTAGATTTTCCCCTCTTGTAAGACATCTCATTTACAAACAATATTTTACTTCCCTATCAGCCTACTTTCCTAGTCAAAAATAAACAGCCCTAACTTGAAATAGGCACGAATAAAGATAAATAAAGACATATAGGTATAACTAATATACTGTTTACTAAAAAGAGCTTTAAGTTTCATCTTTGTTGGAGCTATTTTAAAAACACATTTCCTATGTTATGTTTAAATTCATATTTTTTTTTTTTTTTAAGAGAGTCTCACTCTCTCCCCCTCGATAGACTGCAGTGGCATCACTGTAGCTCACTGCAACCTCAAACTTCTGGGCTCAGATCTCCCAAGTAGTGGGGACTACAGGCACACACCAGGACATCCTGCTAATTTTTCTATTTTTAGTAAAGACAGGATCTTGCTGTTGCTCAGGCTGGTCTCGAATTCCTGAGCTCAAGCAGTCCTCCAGCCTTGGCCTCCCAGAGTGCTAGGATTACAGGGATGAGCCATTGAGCCCAAACACATTCATACTTTTTTATCTTTTCTTGATTCATTGGAGGAGTGCTCATCCCTACATATACAAATCCAGACTTCCATGGTTTTTTTTTGATATTGGCAATTTTGTGTTGTCTTCCCTCCCTTTTTGGCTGTTACTTTTATGTATTAGGTCTTCTAAGGCTGTGGTCCCCAACCCCTGGGCTACAGACTGGTACTGGTCTGTGGCCTGTTAGGAACTAGGCCGTTCAGCAGGAGGTGAGCAGCAGGAGTGAAGCTTCATCTGTATTTACAGCCACTCCCCATTACTCACATCACCGCATAAGCTCCGCCTCCTGTCAGATCAGGGGTGCCATTAGATTCTCATAGGAGCATGAACCCTACTGTAAACTGCGCATGCGAGGGATCTACGTTGCACACTCCTTATGAGAATCTAACACCTGATGATCTGAGGTGGAGCTGAGGCTGTGATGCTAGCACTGGGAGGACCTACAAATACAGATTATTATTAGCAGAGAGGTTTGACTGCACAATAAATGTAACATGCTTGAATTATCCCCAAACCATCCCCCAATCCCAGTCTGTGGAAAAACTGTCTTCCATGAAACAGGTCCCTGGTGCCAAAAAGGTTGAGGACCACTGTTCTAAGGTACTTCATACCCATCTCTTCTTCCTACTCCCTAGCTCCCAACCTGTTAAAGCAGAGGAAAGACTTAGGATTATAGGAAAAAACAGATACTGAACTGGTAACATTAACAACCTAAAGCATTAGGATCTAACTTGAGGGTAGTGCCAGTTCCAGAAAAATGGAAAGAGGTATTTGAGCTTTCTGAAAGCTAATTTCCTCCATTTTCAGAGGTCTTTTTTCATTTACTTTTGGGTTCTTGGCTGGATTGAGATGGTCAAGAGTAACAAGTACATTTTTAGATAACTGCAAGTATGAATTAGGACTGAGGTCTGAACTGAGTTAAACAATGCTACACATTTACTAGAAAAACAGCTGACACAGAACTAAATATAAGTAAGAAGATAAATCTTTTTAATGAGAATAAAATGATAAAACAAGATAAACTTAATCTGTATTTAAAGTGTGATTTTTCAAAAAATATGACAAAAGAATAAAATGATGTTTTTATGATTTACCTGCAAATCCTGAGCACAACACAGCAATAGCTATAGCACCAAACCCTAATAATGGATTCTGTTCCACCTGCAATATTAATTTTTAAAGGTTATTTTTAGTGACTAATAAATAGAATTTATCTAAGAATACAAACAAATGAATACAAATATCTGTGTTATAGCCTTACTAAAAGTATGTTCCATAACAGACACAGATATTCTACAGAATAAGACAAGACCAAATAAAAGACCATTCCAGAAATTAACCAGAGCACTTAAGTTAAAAATGTGCCCCTCAAATCACAGCCCTAGTATATGCTTAATATAACATGTACATAAACACTCTAGCGTAGAGTTTTGCATAGTCAGACTGCTTCTTAATTTTAATTTTTGCCATCACCCTAACTCAAGTCCTTATAGCATCAATCCTGGAAACAATAACTTATTTATTCCCCATCACCTACAGGATGAAGTGCTGGCTTCTAAGACTCTCTACTTTATTCAATTTTTATCAAATATTTATAGTGTACCTTCTGTGTACCAGATTGTGTTTATATACTGCTGTATTAAATATTTTGAGTGTCCACTCTATAACTCATATTGAGATTTAACTGCCATCATAATAGTATTAAAAGGTGGGACATTTAAGAGGTGACTATGTCATGAGGGCTCATGAAGGCATTAACACCATTAGCAAAGGAATCAATTATTGAGGGAGTAGGTACTTGATAAAAAGGATGAGTTCAGCCCACTTTCCTCTCTGTCTTGTGGGCTCACCTCCACCTTCCACCATAGGATGACCCTCACCGGATGCCAACAGTATGCTCTTGGACTTCCAAGCCTCCAGAACTGTGAGCCAAATAAACTTCTGTTCTTTATGAATTACTTAGTCTGTGGTATTCTAACAGCAGAAAATGGACTAAGACACATACTAAATGCATAAAGATGATTGATATACAGCTCTGGTTCTTAAACAGTTTCATGCATAGGAGAAACTGACAAGTATATATAGGCATAGTACTGTGAGACAAGTGCTAACAGATGCATAGATAGGGGCCCCAACCTACTGTTTGAACTTTTTCTTCTTTCTTCTCTAAACTAACCATCAGAAGCTTTTGTCAGTCTTTCCTGAGAGAGAAATACTATCTCAGTAGTATCAAAGAAATTAGAGGGTTGAGACTCAGGACTGTAATATGACAAGAAAGCATATACCTTGTTCAAAATAAATAAGCCTGATGTAAGGAGGGTACTACTTTATGTGAAGTACCCGAGAGGGAAATCTTGGTCTAAAATGTTTGCATGAAGATAAAAGGAGAAACAGAAGATATTATAGACCAGTGCTTCTCAAAGTATGGTCCTTAGACTAGCTGCAGCACCTGGGAATTTGTTAGAAATGAAAACTGTCAGGCTCTACCCTAGACTTACTGAAGCTATAGCGATGGGTCCAGCAGTGTGTTTAACCTTCAGTTGATTCTGTGTACATTAAAGTTGGAGAACTGCTGCAGACTACAAATGATTAACATGGATACTTGCCTAATACAAATGTCAAGACTGCCATAGATATAAGAAGAAAATCATAGTGTGAGATTTCACCTATCTCAACATCTTCTAGGAAGCTCAAGCTGCTAAAAAAGAGTATCTGATAAATTCTTGACTTTCTTTCCTGCCATTTTAATCTCTCTACAGTTTAGAAAAATTGTGATGGAAACTGGTTCTCTAGACTTGATTCTGATTTGATAAGAAACTACAGGGTGATGAAGTGTGTGTGATGAAAACTTGGGAATAAAGCAACCATACCATCTTAGCATGAGTAATAGCCAAACACAGCACAGTTAAGAGACATGTGTTTCAGTCTTGAATAAATCAAAATTCAAAAATATAAAACTTCAAGTTAGAATTGCATGGCTTACGAAAAAACAGTTCAGGAGTGATTAAGAGGTACTGAAGAAAACTATGAGGTTCTGATGAAGAATAAAAGAATACATAAATGATCATGAATAAATAAGAGCATCCTCACTGAATTCTAATTTTACAGGAACTGCAGATCACCAAGAGGAATCTAACCAGGAATTTAAGAATAGTAGCAAGAAGTTGAAGACTCAGAATAAGTAGAGGCTTACAAAAATACTTTAAAACATTAAAGGTGGTCTTAAAAGTATGTTTACTCAGGAAGAAAAGAGTATGTTTCTTGAGCTAGATAATGTACTGTTAGATGGCAAGAATCTAGTTTCCATTTTCTTTTTGAATAATATTTAAATAATAAACATATTTAAAAAGGGACTGAAGTCCAAGACATCTGGTTTGCTCTTATAAGAATCCCTAACTAAATAAATTCAAAAGTCTCTTTACCAAGGAAACTTGGTGAGCATATATAAAGCACAATAATGCTAGTATTTAGTGCCATATAGTGATTACTATTACCTTGATTACTAGGAAAATGTTAGAATAGAATTAACAGATGATTTGAAGAACTTAAAAAGTTTAAAAGTCATCATTGAAAAATAGTGTGGCTTCCCTAAGAGTGAAACATACCAAAGTTCCTTACTGAAAGTATTCCTAGTGTTAAGTGATGAGGGGAATTCCATAGAGATGTTTGGCAAGAAACTTGACAGATTTGCATATCTTTGTAGACAAGACAGAAATGTAGTGAGGCTGAAATAGTTTATTCATAAAAGAGTGAATGCTCATACAGAAAAATGCAAACTAATAGAACTAAGTCAAACTAGACCAGCAACCAATACTAACTTGCCAGGCATATGAATGAGCCACCTTAAACACAGATCCTTTTGTAGCTGATCAGTGTGATGACTGGATGTTCACACATGTCAGATGTTACGATGTTAGCACATTACCCATCTGATGTGAAAGAACAAAAAACAACAGATCTTCCAGCCCTAGTCAAGCCTTCAGATGACTGCAGCCCTAACCAATATCTTTTTTTTTTTGAGACAGAGTCTCACTCTTTTCCCGGGCTAGAGTGAGTGCCGTGGCGTCAGCCTAGCTCACAGCAACCTCAAACTCCTGGGCTCAAGCAATCCTCCTGCCTCAGCCTCCCGAGTAGCTGGGACTACAGGCATGTGCCACCATGCCCGGCTAATTTTTTCTATATATTTTTAGTTGTCCAATTAATTTTCTTTCTATTTTTAGTAGAGACGGGGTCTCGCTCTTGCTCAGGCTGGTCTCGAACTCCTGAGCTCAAACAATCCGCCCGCCTCGGCCTCCCAGAGTGCTAGGATTACAGGCGTGAGCCACCGCGCCTGGCCTCCTAACCAATATCTTGACTGCAACTTTATGAAACCTCAAGCCAGAACCACATAGCTAAAGCACCCTCAAATTCCTGACTAATAAAAACTGTGAGAGATGATAGATGTTTAGTAAGCAAGAAAAAAATCAAGCTACAGAGAGGTCTAAAATCATAGCCATAGAACTTTGTCTAAAATTTTCAGTAAACACCCAGAAGATATATTTGTTGACTCTAGAAAACATAATAATCAAAGAAGCAGCTAATAATGTATAAGAACTGGAAAGCACTCAAGGGGCTGGGCAATGACCCACAGCTAACAAGATGAGCTTAATAAATACAAAAACATCCTACATTTTGCTTTAGAATAAGCCTACTATCCAAGACACATTTGAGACAAACTATGTGACACAGCTACACGTAGTTGTGTATAATCAACTACAGAATAGATACCCTGTCTCCCTCCAAAAAACAACTAATAACGGTCATGTACCACATAATGACATTTCAGTCAGTGACAGACCACATGTAGAACAGTGGTCCCATAAGATTATAAGACTATATTTTTACTGTACCTGTTTTGTGTTTAGATACACAAATACCATTGTGTTATAGTTGCCTGCAGTATTCAGTACAGTTACATGCTATACAGGTTTGTAGCTTAGGAGCAATAGGCAATACTATCTAGGTTTGTGTAAGTACACTTTATGATGTTCACACAATAATGCAATTACCTAATGATTTCTCGGAACTCTGAACTACACCCATCATTAAACAATGTATGACTGTATAATCTTATGCTGATTTAACAAGTCTCTAGTATTCAGAACAAGGGGGTGATTACCAAGATGTACTTCACACTACTCCAGGCAACATCTGGAGTTAGTGTGAAGTCTTAGGACATACTGAGAAACAATGACAGATGAATGCATCTAGAAGAGAAATACAAGACAAAGTATAGGGGCAAGAAGCAGGGACTGGAAAGTCTCTGTCTAGAAACCATATTTAGAAAGAAACAATAGGGTTGTGTAAATGGGGAGGGAAGGGACCTGGAGGGTAGAGATGTGATGCTGTCCTCAAACATTCGCAGGATCATCCTATGGACTTAGTAGGGATTTGAGTTATTCTGTCGAAAACAAAGAACAATGAAAGGCAGTTACAAGAAGCTACACTCTGTTTAAAGTATGAAAAAACTTCCCAGAGGGACCCCAAAGTAGGATACGCTTTAGCATAGCTTTTCACATACGTTACCTATGTAGGGTGGGCCTAACATCTTTTCTAATGGTGTAAAATGTTACTTAACACTCATATTTAACTTTTAAGTGTTTTACTCACTTGCCAAACAAGTTATTTCTCTGAAGGTCTACAACTGAGTGAAATGTGCAGTGCATGTTTAATAAATGCTTTGTCACCAAGAATATGAGCATGCTTCCACATCTGAAGACAATAAATATTAGTCTAAAACGCACTTTCTGAAAACAAAAACATTTCTCCACCAAGCTAGAGAGTAACTACTAAAGAAGAACAGACTTCTTAACTTTCACAAGTTCTCTGTAAATTCCTAGCTGCCTTCTCTTCCTAAGAGAACCATGGTGCATTTGCAAAAAGTGAGAGTCCATAGTCCACTGTAGAGGGAAACCCCTGACCTTCAGAAAGCCCATTCACTAGCATTCAACTTCCTATTTCTCTTTGGGGAAATAACTGATTGAGGCATATAATATATTTTTTTAAAAAATCAGGTATGTACCTTAATATTAACTCTTAAAAACTGAAACAAGTAAAGGGTATTCTTTGCCCTATTTTCATTATCAATTATCAGTAAGAAGACTTTTTCCCTGTCTTCCCTATCACTGACAGTGGGAATATATGCCAAAGTATAAGAGACCAAGTTGAGGGAGATGAAAAACAGATGGAGAAAACCTTGCCCAGTGTTTCTAAGAAGATGTCTAAAAGAGGTCTAGAAGTTCTGAAGATATACACTGTATGGAAGTTGGCACAGTTTTAGTCACACATTAGCTATTAACTAATAACTGTGTAATAACTTTGGACAAGTAACATCACGTCTTTGGACTTCAATTTTGTCATCCATAAAGCAAAGGTGTGCAATACACTACACATCTAAGGTAACTTCCATCTCTAACACATTTTATGCACACACTCCTCAAAGAAACAGAAAGCCAATAAGTACTGTCCTTAATAATAGTATGCTAAGGGGAAAAAAAGCATATCTAGAAGGCAAAAGTTATTTTAAATCAAAGAAATGTACTCATGCTGGATGCATTAATGTGACTGAAGTGTATAAGACTTAAGGAAGTTTCCCATTTTAGTTACAGTATGCATTTTGTTTCTTACCACAATTTTTGTAGCTTGGGCTGGCTTCCACTGTACAAGTGTCACTCCACCACACAGCATAAAAACTGATATCCACTGTAATTTGCTGAGTGTCCGATTTAACATTAAAACAGTACATAAAGCAGTACAGGGAATCTTCAATTGGTAGGTCACCTAGAAACAAAATGATGAATTAATAAATTCAGTTAATACTAGTCTGACACAAATACATTATTTCTGATGTAATTCATAGAATTGAGAAAAATATTTGATAATGTGAGAAAGAGTTAATAAAAAATCTTTTCATCATAAAAGATAATGTGCTTCTCAATATCATCAACTCCACTTACCTGGTACACTGCTGCATCCAGATTGCTGAGAGCTAGGAAAGCCATGTTGTTCTGAACAGCATACACTAACGATGGCACACTTAACTTCATCAGTTCCTTGGGGCTCCTCAAGACATTTTCTCTTAAAGATGCCTTGAATCTATCCAGACTACCAGTTTCTCTTTGGAAACAAAAGGGGGAATGGAAACAAAAGGGGGAAATAGAAGGGTGAGGAAGAAAATTAAAGAGCATTCTTTTAATAAAATTCCTTCATACACAGGACAAGTATACTGTGTTAAGTCCATGATGTAATGGCAAACTTGTTTTCTAATAATTCCCAACTAATTTTAGATTTATTAAAAAAACATACCAATGATCTCATAAAAAAATTACAAGTTCTTTTTGGGAATATATGACAAACAACTCGGTTTTCCACTGTCAACCTCTGGTCAAAGCTCCAGGAGTTTTTGAGTATATTAAATAATGAGGTCAGGAAACCAGAATTGCTGGTACTACCTATAAAAAATTAATCCCCTGCCACTTCAACTGTATTGCACCAAGATCACTCTGATTACTTTTTAATCAGGTTGTATATCTATTGTTTAAGTTTTTAAAAATTACAATAGATTTAATTGCAAACAGAAGAAAAAGGCTTTGGTAGTTAAGGGAGTTACTTGGGTTAGAAATAAAGTGATTCAGGTCAGTATTATTTGTAAATGAATTCAGTGTTTATGAAATATACAATAAATCTTTATATAAGGATATTCTCATAAAACTTATCTCTATAATTCTGTGGGAAATCTGAATAAGTTACTAATCCCAACAAAAGTAAATCTTTCTGTGATGTACATAAAGTTTACTACTGGACTACATATTGATTATGCATGCTCTTTACTGCTCTTAGTTTTGCTCAGGAGGAACTGGCTAATCTGGCTCCTATTTCCCCAATTATAAATCAGCTCAGCTATTTCCTGAAAATAAAAATAAAACAATGTTTTATAATAAGCATCAATACCCCCAAAAAGTGCTTTATCAAAATGGTCCTAACTGCAACTCAACAATATCCTTAAGAGGACCATCATACTTTGTTGGTGAGATAGCTCTATTTCAGCTCAGAGTTTGATATTCACACTGAACTCTATATTGTTGGTTTAATACATTAGAATCAACAGTTGTCAGCTGAATTTTTTCATATTTAAATACTGCAAAAATAAGTATCTTAAGTTCTAAGAAGGAACAAAAAGTCCATGATGTCAAATTGACTACCTATGCCTATTTATTCACTGCAGAACATTCCACCCCGAAGAAAATGGTTCATTAAGAAGACAGGAAATTTAGCCTAGGCCACAGAAACAAAAGACATCCTTCTTAGTTAGATCTTTTTCTGTTACCAAATCCAAAACCCTTCCACACCACGGTGTTAAATATATATGCTGAAAAGTAATGCACACAGTCTGGTAGGGGGAATTATCAGAAGAGGGAAAGAAAACCAAAAAGATTGCTTCACTGAAAAATCTATGTACTAGAGTTTTTCATGTGTCTTAAGATTGGCTCATTAAACTGACATTTGGCATTCTTTTTTTTTTAACTGCTTGACACAAATCTAAGATGTTCTATATATTTTCCTGACATCTTAAACAGAGTATAAATAATTTTCAAGAATGTTTTCCCCTCAATCGTAAAATTGAAGAAAAAAGACAGAAAGAGATTAAAATTAAAAAGAATCACAGGGGTCCAACCCAAAGAATCACCTTAACAAGGTGATGTATTAGAAAACATAATTGAACATTTTCTTTATTATCATAGTTATCACTAGTCAGTATCATATGTAGCATAGCTATAAATGTTATAGATTGTGTGAAATACAAGATACTGCTCTCACTGTACTTTTACGTTTCATGCCCTTCTAAAATGCTGACTTACACACTGACATATTATCTTCAGGGTAGCACCCTAAAAGAACTACTGAGAGGTACTGTTTGTTCCCATCCCCACACTCCGCCTCCTCCCGTAACCATTTATCTCCCACGTGAGATTCTTCAAGCTGAACCATCAAAGGCTACAGTATAATGGCTATTTACCCTTTCCTTAATCCGCAGCTATGGGCAATGCCATTTTACCTCCACCTCTTAAAGATATTATATGCCTTCAGTGGTATCAAATAACATTTTTTTTTTGGCTATCTAGAGAAGAGAGTTGATCTCTTTGCCGTGTCGGAACATGAGCTACTTAAGGATCCAATTGCTATTCCAAATAACCACCATACATGCCCTAATAATCAAGGTTGCTGTGGTCCCTTTACTCCTGTCACTTTTCTTTTCTCTTACCTCCTCTCCCTCACTTTTCTGCTTTCACATTAAAAAGAAGGCTTATGAAACAACTTAGCAGCCAATCTGAAGACTCTTCCCTTTAGCTTGGCAAACCAGTAAAGTACAGTGTGTCAGGATTAACCTTCAGGCCTTTGTCTCTTTTGGCCATATCCTTTTTCTTGGATGCATAGGAGCTATTCACTGCCAGGAAGTCTTAAGTATCTTTTTCTGGTTCCTTCTCTAATGTAGACACTAGAGAAGCCAAGGTATACAGAATGTTAATTGCTGGAGAGTTCAAGGGTCACTGTAGTACCATGGAATTATGAATATTATATAATTACAAGTAAGATACTTTGAAATGACTTACAAAAAAATAGCAGAGGATACTAAAAGAACAAAAGCTCAAGGATAAGAAAAGCATCAGAAAGTAGATTTAAGAGGTGTGAAAAAAAAAGTGGGAATCTTATCACACACAGTTTTAAAGAAGGGGGTAAATGATTTCAGTATTAATCAAATTAAATCCTGCTTAAGTTAACATATTTAGAATACTGCACTTAAAACCTGTATTTAGCTTTACTCACTGAAGTTATATAAAAGTAACAAGAGCAATATATCTTCCATAAAACACTAGTGATCATCTGTCCTTTTGTTTTAATATTAAGGAGACAGAAATAATGGATCAGTTCTAAATATACTGCAGCCTTAAATATACTATAAAAAGGAACACATAAAAACCAAAGGGTATTTTTTCTTCCATTGTCCTGAACTTATATTTTCTTCGAAATCAAATCACAAGCACCTTAATGAGCACCTTTTGTCAAAAACACATGTAATTATGTAAATGACACTGCTAGATAAGAGAAAGAACATGTATAATCAAAAGCGTATATTAAATTTTTTTTAGATAATAGTCTTTTTTCATTAAATTTTCTATTTGAACAATTCATTTGATTCTTATTATTGAAATAGAATCTATGTGCAACCTTTGGTTACCTGCCTCCATGTTGATTGCAGAAAGATTCCGCTGCTGCCTCCCCCCCTAAATTTCCTATCAACCAGCGGAAACCAATTCTTTCTGACCTATGTTTGGTCAAAAGTAGGCCTCATTCTTCCAGCTCCTGATCTGACGAGAACTACTAGGAGGCATAAAATCCTTGGCTAGGTTACTAAGGCACTGTGCAAAATGGAACACAGCAGAAGTTACTCATGAGCTTAAGAAATTTAAATTTTGTTTACAAATTTCTTATCATCTGCAAAGTTAACTATAATTAACTTGCATAAAAGACTTTGAGGGGCTAGGCATAAAAACCAATAATGAGGTCCATTTGAGGACGAAAATACCCATCATACGAGGTACCTGATTTTTACTTCCTCTCAAGACCCTGGACCCATTATAACACAGGTATAAAATGGTAGTGAAAATAGAAACTCAGAGGCGAAATAAACAGGGCTGGATAATCTATAACATACATATTTGACAGCTACATAACTATTCTAGATGATAGTATGAAACAGTAAAAGAATTTTCTCTAGTTTTAATATGGACATGGAATTCGAAGTCAATATACATTTGGTTTGTTACTAAACACACCCAAAGTATATGTCCATTAATATTTACACATCCTGCTAGGGTTGCTAAGTCTTTAGAGACTGTGGTGAACAGCAAACAATAAAAAGTCGACTTTGTTCAAAGGCGATGTAAAAGTGTTTTCACTTCCTCTTCTTCATATCACCAATGACAGATTTAAATCTAAACTGTTAGTGTTAATAGCTGTCACAGGGTTTAGTAAAGCATATAGCTAACAGCAATTTTCCAGCAAATTGCAATAGTAATTAGTTTTATGAAAAAACAAAATATTTTTTAAATGTATTGTTTTATATTTCAATCAAAATACAGTTTGGAGGCCGGGCGCGGTGGCTCACGCCTGTAATCCTAGCTCTCTGGGAGGCCGAGGCGGGCGGATTGTTTGAGTTCAGGAGTTCGAGACCAGCCTGAGCAAGAGTGAGACCCCGTCTCTACTAAAATTAGAAAGAAATTAATTGGACAACTAAAAATATATAGAAAAAATTAGCCGGGCATGGTGGCGCGTGCCTGTAGTCCCAGCTACTTGGGAGGCTGAGGCAGGAGGATCGCTTGAGCCCAGGAGTTTGAGGTTACTGTGAGCTAGGATGACACCACGGCACTCTAGCCCAGGCAACACAGTGAGACTCTGTCTCAAAAAAAAAAAAAAAAAAAAAAATACAGCTTGGAAACTGGTAACTTAAAATTCAAATATTAAAAAAAAAAAATCACCTTATTCACAGTCAGAGCTTTGGCAACATCAAACTGCTAATGTGCCCCTTCCCCACAAACAGGATTTACTAATTTTCTTTTCAATTTAAAAGTGATCTGATATACTCACACATGTGCACAACAGTGTATGTACAGAGGTAATTATTATATCTTTGTTTAGTAGAAAACTAGAAACAACCCAAATGTCCATCAGTAGAGACTGGTATATATGATACATCCATATAATGGAATACCATGCAGCTTTTAAAAATAATGAGACAGCTTTCTATGTACTGACAAGAAACCACCTCTAAATAAAATATTTAAGTGTTAAAAAAAAAAATAAACTGGAGTAGTGTGTTCAGTGTTTATCACACACAGTGCCCAGCAATCTCTTGCACATAACTAAAATTCACCAGTTTGACCATATAAACCATATATATCAAAGTAAAGTAGCCATCCATTAATTTCTTCCCACGCCCTCCTTTTTTCTTGCAGTTCTAACTTCTGATTGAAATAAGTATAATTTCATACTCTAAAAATTCCTGGAAATTGTAAGTAAAATCAACAAGGATGAGGAAATCTCAAATTAAGTACAAA